ATTTTTTTAAGCCTGTGAACAGGTTTTATTGACAAATAATGAACGTATTCTGTTAAGCTGGTAATAAATTATTAGTATATCTGATACCCTTAAAAAATACAGTAAGTTATTCTTGTTGGTGTCTGTTTACAGTGGCAGAAGTTGTGTCTGGTCCAAAGGTTGACTGATACCAGAAATTATTGTATGTGCAAAGGATCACGAGACGTTCATGAAAATGATCATGAGAGGATGCAAGGGTTTCACCCCTCTGTTTTATCCCTCACCCAAGCATCATATCTAATAAATGAAGCTCCACTGGAAGCGACAGCCTGCTAACGCTAATTATGCTCAGCAGGAGAGGTAGGATGCAATTAAACCACAACCTAAACCTTTGCAGAGTGTCTTCTTCCTTACAGTCACAGCTTCACATCCTTTTGGTCCTGATGAAGATCACTTGGCTCTCCAGTCTGCATTAAACCAATGAAGGAGTGTGTGCATGTGTGTGTGTGAACGATTGGGGATGAGGTGGGGTCTTGGTGTGTTAAAGATTGGCTAGTTCAGGAGGTCTGGCCCTGGTATTTAACAAGCTTTTGATTAGAATAAATCCGAGTGTTTTCATCTCATAAAGGATGTGCAGACCTAAAGGGCAGGCGCATTTCATCATTTCCAGCAGTACTAGGTGGGATGTCGTTTAAAATGCAGAGCATACATCACCACTGGTAATCTGGGGGTCCACATAGGACAAAACATCAGTCAAAGCCAGGGACAGCTGGACAAATTACCTTCAGATTGACAACCGTGACATCTTTGCATCTTGTCTTACATTAACACAAGTAAACAGTTGTCACCTGTCGCTACATCTAATGCTTTATGTTTGTGCGTGTTTAATTTTCTGTTAGTGAACAAAACATCTCATGAACCACAGGACAGATTTGAATGAAACTCTCAGAGAGCTATCACAAAAGGGATACCTACAACGAATTAACGCATGAGGTCAACCGGATTCAAGATGGTCGTCACAACTAGAGATGGAATTCCAGTGGGCTGTGACTGGATGGCGTTTGGCGTTCATGAGGGATTCTCAAGTCTGGAGTGTCTTGTGAGGATCATGGAAGTTCTGGATTTCCTCATGAGTTGTGCAGTACTGTTGCTGGAGTTTAGAGCATATTTAAAACCTCTGCAACATTTATCTTGAAATAGTCGTCATGAGCATCTCCAACCTGTCTCAAGAGAGCTGGAGATCAAACAGAAAGCATTCAAAGCAAAGGTCCATGTCTAAATGCCACACTATGATAAATAATACTGATTAAAAACGGGTCCAGGTTTGTCTATCTTCTTTTCTAAAGTGTACTCAAGCGCAATAAATCATAAATATTGGGGTGGCTGCAAATACAGGTACAAAATGAGGTGGTACGCTGCGGCTGAAGGACAACAAAATGAGCACAGCCAACAATGCAGTTTCACACGCCAAGCACATGAAAACAAGCCATGATTTTCAGACAATCTTCATTTAAAGAGCAGTTGGATAACTTGCTGGTCACTTGGTCACAAATGCTTAAAAATCAGTGAGACTGCTACAAAAACGTGCTAATTTTCTCTTAATTTTGTGTCGTTAACTTGTCTCCACCAGTCGCAGCCCAGTGAGGCAGCGTCTTAATTAGAGCTGTCATTTCTAACCCGTGACAAAATAATGTGCTGGATGGGCGGGCCGGGTCGGTCTCGGGCTTCTATGATGCGGTTTTACGAATCATACAGAAAGAAAACTAAATAAGAAAGCACAATATAAAATATTATATACAATATAAAGTTGTGTTAAATGTTGAGGAGGAGGCAGGTCCGATCGACCGCTTGAACGAGGTAAAAAAAATGTCCAGTTAAACTTCAGATGGATCAGCTGATCACCGGCCGTGCGCATCTCCGCACCTGCTGTCATCTGCGTTAACGGAAGTAGCAGCATCTACAAAAGCCGAACCGAGAAGCACGTTCAATTAAAATAGCCTTGTTCTATATTTTTCCAAATAATTTAGCTCTAAAAATAGTTTTGTTCATCTGTATAATAGCCAATGTTTAGAGTAGATTCTTTTAGGCTATTTGTCTATTGTTAATATTCATTTGGTGAAACAATAAATCTGATATTTTCCTTTCTTTGAAATATGTTTTTAAACTATCATGTCAAACTGATTTGCTTACAAAAGCAGTAAAAGCTTAATAAAAAATAGTTTTTTTTTTGTCGAGTTCGGGCCTGTAATTACAATTAATCTGTCGAATCTGGGTTGGGCTGGATTTTTTAGGCCCAAATGCAACTCTAGTCTTAATGAACCTTAGCCAACACAAAATGGCTTCATTTAGTCAAATTTACAGACACTGAGATGAAACGTGCCCTGTGATGGACTGGGTGTCCTGGGTGTCCCATGCCTCTGATAGATGGACAGGGCACCAGTGACCCCTGTGACCTGAAATGGAAAAAGCAGGTAAAAGATGATGGATGCATGGGCCGTACCCGAATGTTGCCAATTTTTTCTAAACATTTACACAGTTGCTAGCTTCACCTTACAGTTATTTTCATAGGATTCAGTTTTATTTTTTTACAAAAGCAAGTAGCAGCTAACTTTAACTTGTCCAATGCAGATGGGTGCACGTCCAGTGGGAAGATCTGAATATGTCTGCAAGAATGAAAGTGTAACGTGAAACTGACAGCAATTCATGTTTATAAAACAGTGGTTATATAAAAAACTGTGCAAAATTAGAAATGAGTTAAGACATTAGCATCCATTATGGTTTTGGCCCATCCCACTCAAATTAGCTTGTCAGTCCAGTCAGAATGAATCTCAGATTGGTCCAACAAACTTTTGACAAACTGAAGTCGTGCAAAAAGCCATCCACAACAGGTAAGATATTAATTGGTCGACTTTTCCACAAAACCCGACTTCTAACCCCGTCATAATCCGACAGGGAATCAAAGTCCAAATGTAACAATTTAAATGTTTAATAATTGGATTAGTACCTTGATGTTCAGATGTTTCCAGTGAGATACACAAAAATGTCTCAAGTGACCAGATTTCAATTATTAATCTGTTTAATGTTAAATTCTACAGAGAACATCTTTAAAATGTATTTATCTTTCTTGTTTAAACGTTCTTATAATGCAAAAGACATATAGGTGCTCCTACTTACAGCTTATGCAAGGATCCTTCAAATAGCTACTTAGAAAAACTCTATAGAGTCCAGTTTCAAGATTATCTTTATTGTCCTGACAAAAATAATGAATAAAAAATACCTACAACCACCTAACAAGTTGAACACATGTTTTAATTTGTACATCTGTTGATTTGATTTCCAGTTTTAGCTGCAAAGTTGCACATTCCCTTTGCATAGTAGAGACGCTGAGGTAAAACATGGCAGTTGTCACTCTTTTTATAATCAGGTGGACAGTTGATGATACATTTTATGAAACTCTTACTAATGATGATTTGTCAGTGCAGCCACACAACAAATGTCATTTTTTTGGTCATATTTGCATCTGGTTCTGGTGGGACGACACATACGATGAAAAGTGACTTTAGATCCTGGCACAAAATAATCCAGACAACTTTATCACTGATTGTCAGCGACAGAACAAGAAGGTAAAGTTAATGTGGGTTAAAATAAATCACCTTCAAGTGGCATTTTCAGAATCGGCTCCTGTATATTTCAAAGGACAATGAAGAATTACATTTTCTGGAAGAATATAGTTATTGTTTAATATCCGTCTTTAATGCCTTGAAGTGGTGAGAGTTTAACCCAAAAGTGCAACATGACAATAAAGAAATAAATTAAAAATCAAACTAAAAAATCCCTCACTTTTTTATACAGATCCCTCCCCCTAAGCATATTCGTTACATCATGCATGTTCATTATTTTTCACATCTTTGCTTATTTTAGGACATTCTTTTCTAGTTGACTCCTAAGAGTTACCATATTTGATACATAGGCTGCCTTGTAAACATTCCAGTTATTTTCTTAAATAAATAGTAAACTTCACATTTCTTTCAGTATGTTCGGGGACGATAAAATCATCGAAGGACGTACTGAAACTTGCAGCTCTGCCTGCTTCAAGTGAACAAAGCAAACATGAATGTTCAAACAGCTGATTGAAGCCTGAAACAAAGTCATCATGGCTTGTTCCTTTATGTTCATCTCAGTGCAGGTCTGTCAAGTATTTTTTGTTTTACTCCACAGTACTACAGTATATATTTTTTTGTTATTATTGTTGTGGGTTTTTTTTTTTACAAAAAGACAGTAAAAGGCAATCCAGTACAGGATAAAGGTGGTGGTCCCCGGCATGTTCCTGAGCTCCCAGACTGGATTCTAGAAAGAAATGGTGCAAAAATAAGTTACAGGGAGATGCCATTTAGTAAACATAATAATTATTAATAATTATTATTAAATATAATGATGATAATTATTAATGATGACGATATGATGATGTGATGATGATAATAAGAATTATAATTACGATAATAATACCAACATGTTGATGATAATAATAATAATGATAATAATCATAATAATGATAATAATAAAAATAATAATGATACTAATCATAATGATAATAATGATGATAATGACAATAATAATGACAATAATCATAATGATAATAATGACGATATAATACTACTAATAATGATAATAATAGTAATGATAATAATTATGATAATAATGATAATATAATGATGATAATAGTAATACTAATGATAATAATAATAACAATATTATGATAATAATGATAATAATAATAACGATAAAGATAATAATAATGATTATGTTAATAATAATAATAATGATGATAATAATAATGAAAATATAATGATGATAATAGTAATACTAATGATAATAATAATAATAATAACAATAACTATGATAATAATAATAAATAATAATAATAATAATAATACATATTAATAGTAATAAATAATAATAATAGTAATAATGTACCTGTTTGGCATTTTCTGACAAGCAGATGGAGCTAAAGGAGCTTTTCCTCACTGCACAGGATTAATGGTCGACCTCAGGCTTTTCATCCAATGTTGATCCTACAAATAATAATAATATTAATGATAAAAAACTATAACATTTCATTATGTCAAAGTTTCCATGGCTCTATAGATTGAGCCAAACTAACATGTTGGAAGACAAAGTGCATTAACAGAGAAATGTCTTTGATCCAAGATATTTGATCAATTAAGAGTTCAATGACCCAGAAACTGCAGAAAATGACTCAAGTCAAAATGTAAATTATATGTAGAGGCTGGATCCACCTGACAAGCAAATATATTGGCAAAAATTAAACTACTGAACAACTTTGACCCCTACGAAGACATGGCTGTTGGATCCAAATCAACAACTATTTCTGTCCTACCTAGTTATTGTAAACTACAGGTGCATTAAAAAACCTGAATATTATGGAAAAATATAAATTTTTCTTTCAGAAGTGGAAATCACTTAGATTCATTACACAAAGTAAAATACTTCAAACTTTTATTTCTTGTAATTTTGATGATTATGGATTATAATAAAGAAAAAAACTAAATGTCTCCGAAAATTAGAATATTACACGGCCAGCTTCTGGTACCTTTGACTGTGTGGGCAGGAGCCATGTCACCTGAAGAATTTCAAGAATATGAAACCAGCATCTCTATAAAGCTTGTCAGCAGAAGGAAGCATGACGTCTCTAAAGTGTCCTGGTAGATGCTGCATGGACTGTGGACTTCACAGTGGACCAGCACCAGCAAAGGACATGGACCCAAACCATCACCGACTGTGGAAACTTCACTCTGGACTTCAAGCAGTAGTGAATTCTGGACCTCTCCACTCTTCCTCCAGACTCTGGGACCTTGATTTACAAATGACATGAAAATGTACTTTCATCTGAAAAGAGGACATTGGACCACTGAGCAACAGTCCAGTTCTTTGTTTCCTCAGCAGGTAAGAAGCTTCTGTTATTGTCTCTGGTTCAGGAGTGGCTTGACTTGAGGAAAGAGACATTTGTAGCTCATGTCCAGGAGTTAATCAACTGATCAGTGTGACACCAGGAGTTTATAATATAGAACATCTTCACAATATTCTCATTTTCTGAGACACTGAGTTTTGTTTTTTTCATTATTTGTAAACCATAATCATCAAAATTACAAGAAATAAAGGCTTGAAGTATTTCACTTTGTATAATAAATGTATATAAAATATGAGTTTCATTTTCTGAAATGGCAGACAAAAACAATGGAACTGTTCATGATATTCTAGCGTTTTATACATGAACCTGTTTAGTTTTCTGCCTGAGCCTGTTCCAGAGAGAGGACCTCCTCAAAAAGTCCAGTAGTTCATACAAAATCTCTAAACCTGTGATTATGTCTCTGGCTGGGTGCAGGAAACCAGTGTCATAGTGAGCTTACAGCAAAAGTAGGTGCTAGTTAAACAGGAAAACTACTGACAAAAGAAGCTTTGATCTTTTTCACAAAATACTACACAACGTTCTAAGTTTCAATATAAATGATGAGTGTAAATGAGTAATTCACTGAGTTGTGACAAAGCAAGAAAATATTGTTTCAGATAGTTCTAGTTATCCATACAGCTGAAGCCATGATTTCTTAAAGAAAATGTGCAGGTGAGCATATCTCAAAAATAACCTGAGCCCATTCTGTATTTATTGAGGATATGGTCTGCACAGTCAAGACTTGTCAGCCAATGATGCCTTCACCTCAGAGACAACTCACAAGTTTGTTCTTCTTGGTTACTCACTGCAGGAACCCTGAAGTATGATTTCCTATCAACATTCCTATTTGAACAGCTAAAACTGCCCAAAACTCGACCATCGTGGTTGAATGCAGGGGGATGGCGCTTCGCATCATGAAGGACTCCACTCATCCTGCACACAGTCTGTTCCAGCAACCTCTCCTCAAGCAGGCGGCTGAGGAGCATTCAGAGCAAAACCACCAGGCTCAGAAACAGTTTCTTCCCTGCAGCTGTCAGACTGCTGAACTCGAGCTGCATTCAGCTTCATCTTACAGTTTTTAAACTTTATTTATTACATATATATTTGTGCTCTTTTGTATTTATTTATTTGTTAATTGTTAGACTTCTTGATCTGGGACCTGAGTCCGAATTTCATACCATAAACATGAAAATGTGAGCTGGTATGACAATAAAAAAATCCTTGAATCCTTACGACCTGCTCTCTGTTCTCTTTATCGTTAGTATTCATACAGTGGAGGATGTCCTAACATGGCCGCCAGGTCTACTGTAAACAAACTGACGCCAGTATAGAGCTGTTTGCAAATGCATTTACCGTTGATTGATTATTAACAGGACATGGTGGTGGGGGTCTCTTTGGTGGGTCAGGTCGGTGTTGATTTAATGCCGATGGTTGTAACTGCTCTTTACGATCCTGGGAGGATAAAGATGAAGGTCCTGGATGTGGGAGAAGAACCTCAATTGATCTCTGTTCTGCGACCTGAGGAGACCTAAGAAAAGGCTGAGCGCACCCCTGAGGAGAGACTTGTCCCTGAGGAGGAGAGGTAACAGGCGGGACCTGTGGCGTCTGCTCGGTGGCGTAGGCGGGTATGGGAGGTGGTTTCACGGCGGGGCGAACAATAGGAGGTCTGGGACGAGGAGAAGCCTTCAAGTATAACAGAGCACAAACAATAAAGTATAATGAATTGTTAAAATTCAAGACGGTACTTTAAAGTCATGTTGTAGGACATGAATGGGTTTCTTTACCGAGTTCTGATTCTTTAGCATGAAGGTTGGGTTGGTGTGGCCGATGGTATGACCATCAGCATTTAAAGGCTTGTCCTCCGCTGTTACTGAACATCTAATTGGAGCAGAAAGAGAGTCCAGTCAGCCACAGTGCACGTTTATACAACTAAAAATCAGCATCATACAAGAAGTCAGCTGGTGTAAATCACTGATTTTTAGAGCTTCAGGATAACATACTTGGGCACCGATGATGGAGCTTTCAGCAGGGCGTTTTGACGAGTGTAGCGCCACCAAAGTCCAAAAGCCACCAAAAAGACAAAGAGAGCCAGAAGAAGCAGCAGCACTAGAAGGAAAGGTCCTTTTGGATGATTAAAACAAAGCAAAATTAAAGAACACCAATAAGAACCCAGAGTGAAAACAAAACAGCTTCATACTGTTAGAATGAAACAGTACATAAGAATGTGTGAAGGTTTATGAAGCATTCACTCTATTGTGATCCATTTTTCTCTGTACATTTTTCAGCATCTTTCTCGTTCCACAGTTTTTGTTCTGTTTCAACCAATCATAAATCAAAACGTTCGGCTCTTTTAGGACAATCACGCTATGACTTTTGGTATTGATGCAACTTTAGCTTTTTCAAATATTTAGCCTTTTCTGCCATTTTCTTTCTCATAGAAAATGAATGGAGCTCATTTTACATCCTTCAAATCTTTAGATCTGTTTACAACCTTTTACTGCTCCTTTCACATTTTGTTCTGCTTCAGCTTCTTTCAGCTTCCTTGTGAAAATTTAAACTTTTTTCCAGCTAATTTCAGCTGTTTCTTTTTTTTTCAGTTTTGTGCTCATTTCAGTTTCTTTCTGCTAACTACAACAGTTTTGTGCTTCTTATAACTTCTTTTAGATAATTTCAGCTTTTTATGCTCCTTTCAGCTGATTTCTGCAAGTTAAATTTTTCCTGCTATTTCAGCTACTATTTAGCTGTTTTATGCTAATTTTAGCATTTTCTGATAATTTCACCTCTTCTCTGCTTATTTAATCTCTTTCTGCTTCCTTCTGGTAGTTTAAGCTTCTGCCTTTTCAGCTACTTTTCAGCAATTATTTTGCTAAATTAAGCTTTTTGAGCTAATGACCTAATTTTTATGCTAATTTCTGCTTATTTAAACCTAATAATTCAGCAAATATGCGTTCTTTCTGCTTTCTTCTGCTAATTTAGGCTTATTCTTCCATTTCAGCTATATCTCAGCATTGTTTTTTTTTTTTTTTTTTTACTAATTTCAGCTGTTTTTCAGCCAGTTCTTCTGCAATAAGCATTCACACTGCATTGTTGCAGGATATGCAGCTTCTCTAGTTAGTTATGTGACTCACTTGCAGGGATGACAGGTCCACTATCCACACTCCCCCCAGACCCACTCTGGTCACACCACGGAGGAGCCCAGCCCAGGTCACAGTGACAGTTATGGTTGTTGTTGCACAGCTGATAAACAGAAAAACAAAGATGCATGCTTTTTTTAAAGGCCTGGAACTTTTTGAAGGAATAAACATCCCTTGCATCTTTTTATACCAGTGTTAAACTAAGATCATCTGATCACGAGAAGGGACAACATTTTTGTGTTTGCTGAAGTCATTTAGCTGTGGTAGCCATCTTGAATTAGACTGACTCCAAAATGCAACCAACTGTAGAAATGATTACTTTGTGAAAGTTATATTAAAATATATTTAGTGGTTTATGAGACAATTTGGGAACACGAACGACACACAAAAAATCACAACACTCTCAGACATATGCAAAAATATTGTCACTTGGTTGCCTTTGCAACAGGAAATAAACACCACAAAACTCTTTAATTAACGCAGAGTTTTAAGGATAACTGGTTAAGATAAGAGTAGATAGAACTTTATTGATCTAGCAGGAAATTTTTGAGTAAGCGTAATTAGCAAATACTGCATAAACTTCCAAGAAATATTTAATCCGTAAGTACTTTCACCTCTGATACAGTTACTTCATTTAGCTGATGATACTTGTTTCTATTTTACAAAGTTCCTATGAAGTATTCTTTCATCGTGGCGTTGCAACTTTTAATCAAATATATGAGCTGAACTATTTTTGCACCGCTGCCAAAGATGGTGGCCCGCAGCCAAAATGTTTCCTACAAGTCTGAAGAAATCCATCACACCTGCTCACATTGTTGCTGAGACACACAAACTTACTCCATGTCCGTGACACTTGACGTTGCACTCATGGGTTTGGAGAAATGACGCATTGCGACAACCTCCGTTGAAGCAAATCTGTTAAGACAAAGCAGGCACGTGAGGAAGACTAATGGAGAAGTGGCTACAAAGTGCCACTAACATCTGAACTTTGGCACTTCTGTAACTAAGCGACTTTTCATGAGTCTCACCGAGTGGCTGCCACACTTGGTGCCCGTCAAGACCAGGCCTGGGTCCAGAGTGTCCCCCTGTGGCTCCTCGTCCTCCTGGTGGAGATTGTACACATGTGTACCCAAGCACACAATTTTCTTCTTGTCCCCTGAGACTGTGGTTTCTATCCGGACGGCGTTGTTCTCGATGGGCTTGGCTGCTGAAGCTGAACACTGGATTTTGCCACACTTGGCATCCCTGACGTGTACAAAAACACATACGAGATCAGTGAATGATTCTCTAGAGCGCCGCTGAGCGGTACGGTCCTCACCTGTCTTTGCAACTCCTGTATCTTCCCTGTTGATCTTTGCCACAGTTCCCGTACATGTCCCCAGCTTTATTCACCTCCCTAAAGCACAGGTCAGGAGCTGGACGAGCGTCTGTGGTGGGAAGAAGGAACATTCACACAAAACACAAACTTGTGATGTTTTTCCATTCAGTTGCTCCGTTTCTCAGAGGTCACCACAGCGAGCTAACTCGCACTAAGATCTGGTAGTAGTTCCTTCCTGACACAACCACCGAGCTACCACAGCCCACATGTGTGGAGCAGAGGGCTGCCATTTAGGGTGCCCAGAAAAACAGGTGGGGGTGTTAAGGGCCTTGCTCAAGGGCTCACTGTGGGGCAAATGAGGGTGGAAGCAGATGTTTCCCACTCAAACTCTTTTGTTATAACTGGTCAAGGGACTTAACAGCCACCTCTCAATCCCAGGTTTGCCTTCTCTAAACACCACTCTCTCACAAACCTATGAATATCGGCACCCTACCCCCTCCAAATAAATAAATAAAATTAAACATATATATCCCTATCTGTATCTGTGCGTGGTATATTACTACCTAATGAAAACAGATGGTCACCTTTATGCTTCTACATGGATCCTGCAGTCCACCAAAGACTCCTCAAGAAGTATCCTAATTCATGCTCAATAATCCAGGTAGAAAAATCCAGTTTACCAACTGACTTAACTTTGTTGGATTTTTATACCTGGATTAATGAGCACGAATTAGCATATTTTGAACAACTTGGGCCATGATGACTGCCTCAAATGAGTCGGCGGGGGAGAGGGCGGACTCCAGAAACCATCTGAGCACCATCAAACTGGTTGACCCACTATGTGAAGGTGATGTTTATAAGACTGGGGTTGTTGTGGCTCCTCGGACTGATGAAGGTTTTTGGATGAAAGACAAAATGTTTCATCAAAAAGAAACTGTCCAGAGGACCTGACTTAACTTTGTTGGACTCCTCAGGAATATTGCCACAACCTGAGTATGAACACTGACCAATAACCGTCCTTGAGCTGGTGATGAACTTTAAATTAATTGTATTTATTTTCAAAACAACTTGAAGTATTTAGTAGTAGTAGGTGTTTTGAACCACTTTGGAATGACTCTCTGAGGAGTTGATGGGGGAGAGGGCGGGCCCCAGAGGCCATTTTAGCACCAGCAAACCATTTTTCCCCACTATGGAGCATGCTGTTTGTGGAAATCAGTTTGTTTGGTGGCTCCTCAGATTGAAGAAGTCCTTTGGATGAAGGACGAAACGTCTCAGCAAAAAAAGAAACCGTCCAGATGACCTGACTGAACATTGTTGAATTATCACCTGGATTACTGAGCATGAACTTTGCTGTAACTTGAAGCAGATTTTTAGGTTTGTTTTGTTTAGGAATGGAGAGTTTTTTTCTGGATTGTTTTGTTTGTATATTATGTTAAAGTCTACCACACAGACAACAGAATAATGATTTCAGAATCAGAAGTACAAACAAAGGATTATACCAACTCCACTGTGACAAAACTGTTAAAAACAAAACTGTAGTTGTTTGTTTAAATAAATCCTTTGGATCCTTTAAAGTATTTTTTGTAGAATGATTATGATTTGAATTACTTCAGTTTGAAGAAATAAAGATTAATTGGGTCTGGATGAAAAAGATAAAAGCTAGTCTGAGCAGGACCAAGCTCAAAGTGGATTACTGCTGTTTTAAAACAACTTTAATCTCAAAACTTTCATAGGAATTCACCAGAATACTGTATATCCTCGTTTATCACGGGGGATCCGTACCCTGAAGCCCCGCGATAAGTGAAAAACTGTGACATAGGGATAGTAGTACAAGTTGTGGCAGCATGAGGGCTCAGTGGTTAGCACTGTTGCCTCACAGCAAAAAAGTCCTGGGTTCAATCCCCAGTTGGATCTGGGGTCTTTCTGTGTGGAGTTTGCATGTTCTTCTCGTGCTTGCATGAGTTTTCTCGGGGTACTCCGGTTTCCTCTCACAGACCAAAAACATGCATGTTAGGCTGCCTTCAGGCCTCCCTTGCAAAAGAGATCTATGATCTCAATGGGATTTGCCTGGTTAAATAAAGGTTAATAATAAGTATCCGGTAGTAGTTTATTTTAGTATTTATATGTATTGTGGCATTTTAAACCCTTCCCACACACTTGCAATATTCTAAACAAAGCATCTAAAATCTAAACACTCTAAAAGAGCACTAATGTCATGAATTCAGCTCTCAGCCTCCAGCTGCACTCTTGGCCACGCCCACTTCTCTGCTCTGCACAGAGATCAGCTGATCAGCTGCAGGAGGAAGCTTCTCCCACAGCTGTGGGCTGCACACAGGTGCTAAATCATTTAAAAATAATTATTTTAAATAAAAACTCCATGTCGATCATGCGGCTCACCCTTCAATCAGCCATTGTGTATCATGTCTAATCTTATTTTGAAAAACCGCGATAGAGCGAGTCCGCGAAAAACGAACAGCGAAGTAGCGAGGGACTACTGTACTGTTTTATATATCTGTACACTGAAAAAATACCACATTACATGGTTATTTGCAAATATACATAGCAGGAGCTAGCTGTAGCACTTCTGTTCAAGAGTCTGAAGCCCTTCCAGCAGGAACATTGTATAGGAAATATTTAATTTTGCAGCTGAAGATTTGAAGATGACATGAATTCAGTTTCCTAACCTCGTCCCCAGAGTGACTGACACTGCAGCTCCAGAGTCAAACACATGCCGGTGTAGCAGTACGCCTTCCCGCCGGCACAAGATGTACCGTCCATCAGGTAAAAATTAGCTGGGCAGAACTCTGTTTTTCCATCACAGTATTCAGGCAGATCACAGGGTCCAGAGGGAGCGCGGCAGAGAGCGCCAGGGCTCTTTAACTTGGTGAGACACAAATAGAATATAAGAGGTTTTAATAAACAGCTGGTTCAGTACTTTAGAGTTATATTACAGTAATTTAGATTTCTCAACAGCAAAACAAAATAATTTACATTATACTTTTATTAAAATAATGGCTGTTTTTATGTTATGGCAAGTAGAAATGCTGTACCTTGCAGTCCTGACAGCAGACTCCATGGGCACACTCAGCTCCAGCTCTCAGGGTGCAGTTTTTGGCATTACAGCAGGGGTTGGTGCACTCCTACACAAACAAGGTCTGTGCAGTAAAATATCACAAGGCTTCAAGAGAAAACATTGATCCAGAAAGAAACCAACGGACCTCTTCCTCTCCGCAGTCGCACTCCTCTCCTTCCTCCAGGTAACCGTTTCCACAGTGCTGCCCTCCATACATTAAATGAGTGTTTGGTAAGTTAAAGAGACACTTGCCTCCTCCAGAGCTCAGAAAACTCTTCAGCTCCTGCACGTTACAACTACTGAACACACGTGGGAACGGAGCCCTGTGGGAGGAACGGACATCAAATGGAGTTTCAGCTTTAAAATCCAATCATCTCTTCTGCTCTCGCAGATATATAAACGTATAAATGCTGAGTCAGCATTAACACCATCATTTTCCTGGTTTCTTCCAAACACTTTTCGAGAACGAAAAACTACTTCAGCACACTTTGTGCCTTTTTTTTTTTTAACCATTCATAGGTCGCTTCGTTCAGGATTAGTGGTTTCACTTTTGATGTTTGTGACTCTTTTGAAATATTTTAACTTATTTAAAAAATCCCTTTAGAAATGCATTTACATTTCTTCAACTGTTTTAAAATATTGGTCTCCTTGAAATCTATTTATCATTTAGCTACAATTTTCACTTTTCTTAGCTTTAAGCTGTTGTTTTGCTGGTTTGAGTTATCAACTATAATTTTGTTAGTTGTAGCTTAAGGCAGCACGGTGGAGCAGTTGGTAGAGCTGCTGCCTCTCAACGAGCAGGTTGCCCCGGTTCAAATCCCGGCCGGTGATCTTTCTGGGTGGAGTTTGCATGTTATCTTCGTGCATGCGTGGGTTTCCTCCCACAGACCAAAAACATGCATATTAGTCTGACTGGTAACTCTAAATTGTCCCTAGGTGAGAGAGTGAATTGTTGTTTGTCTCTATATGTGTCCCTGTGATGGACTGGAGACCTGTCCAGGGTGTCCCCTGTATCTTGGACAGTGATGGCTGGACATGGGCACCAGTGAACCCACGGTCCGAAAATGAAGAAGTAGGTAAAGATAATGGATGGATGGATGGATGGATGGATGGATGGTAGCTTCAGACTACAGTTTTGCTTTAATTAGGTTTCAGCTACAATTTTGCTCATTTAAGCTTTAAGCTACGGTTTTCCCAATTTTAACTCGTACCTACTGTTTTGCTCCTTTTAACTGCTGTTCTGCTTGTTTTCACTAACAGTTCCGATTGTCAGCAGATCTTTTCAGCCTCCACACCGCACACTGACCATGTACATTTATCTACAGTAGTCTTTCTGTTTCATTTACCCAGTAGCTGCAGCCATGATGCAGCCTCCATCTTCTGCTTTGGCCTGGCAGCAGCCTGCGCTGTCGTGACTCATCCCGAAGTTGTGGCCCATCTCGTGTGCTAAGGTGGCAGCAACTCCAACAGGAGACGCAGGGGAGTGGTCCTGTTCAACAGAACGATCAGCTGTTATATTTATTTAAAAGATCAACAGCAGTGTTTGATTATTATTCTACATTCCGGTGTGGAATTAAAACAGATTATTCTTGCAGAGCAGAATATATATTTGTGAAAAAGAATTTACCCATAAGTTTGTTTCTTACCACGTTCACTCCACCGGACTGGTAGTCGGAGCACATGGTTCTGAGAGTTGCCAGCCCAATGGTAGTGCCCTGGAATGACCTACCTCTATGGACGAAAAGACTAATTGTAAATAAAATTACATTAATTCAGTTATTGAATGATTATTGCCTGCTGCCCTTAGTGTTTTGAATAAGATCATCTTATGTTAGAGAATGACAGAGTTGTAGCCATTTTGGTAAAATCTTCTAAACAACCTGACGTGCAATCTGTTAGCACTCAGAGTACCTACTGTGAATGACTCTCAGCTACTACCACACCAAACTTTAGCTCAATGTGAGTAAAGTTGACTGAGTTACAGTCGTTTACTGTATTTTCTGGTGTATAAGTCGCAGTTCTTTGCATAGATTTGTCAGTCCTGCGACTTATACGCTGAAGCGACTTACACAAGTTTTTTTTCCATATTCATAACACAATTTTTTTTCTGACGCTTTAAATTTCTAAGAACTGCAACAGCGGGACCTCCCATGCACGCTCGCTTCACTCAGCTGGTGCAGGCGGAGGAACGCTGGAGAGCTAACGGCTCTGGCCATGATGGATGGATGGATGGCACCGTGCCACCCAGGCGAAATGAAGCTGTTTTAACCATTAAATAAATAAATAATACATGCAACGTATACGCCAAAGAGACTTATATATGTTTTTTTCCTCTTCATGATGCTTCTTTTTGGACTGATGCGACTTATACGCTGGAAAATACGGTATGTGTGTGCTAATGTTGATTAGCCGCAGTGGCCTCCAGAGGTTGATGAGTTATTTGTTCAATCAGTAATTACTTCCTGAGCGTTTAGTTAAAATCCATTCAGTCAGTCATGTGATATTTTGCTAACAATGCACACAGACATGCTCGGACACAGGCTTCTCAGCAGACAAACAGGAGAACAGGGACATTTGTGTTTAAAGTGAATGAAATCATACAGATACTGACGTGATCAGCTGAGCGTTGTCGTTGGGGAGAGTTTTGAGCATTTTCTGCCTCCAGGACAGAAAAGCGTCCAGCGTGCTGCGCGGGTTATCAGACATGTTGATCTTGTCCTGGTCGGTCCACACCTCCAGGCCGATTAAAGCCACGCGGATGCTCAGAGCCCTGTAGAACTGTTGGTGTGGACAGAGACAGACACGCTCAACGCTGTGAACAAAACAGATCGGAGAGCTTTCCATGCGTACGAGATGCTACCTTATCCACCAAGTTGGCCGCTTCCAGCAGCTTCACTCTGGTCTTCTCCAAACTCCGATCATGCCACTCAAACTGCAACACAACACAGGGAACACGTGAACCTTTTTTTTACAGTCGTCTAGTAACTAAACTGACACTTTTGAGAAGATAAAAAAGAGGAATGAAAACCATCAGCAGTTTATTGGTATAAGGAAGTAACACATCATGACTGATCTTGTGCTGATTCACTCTCTAATGCAGATGAGTTCAAAGGAAAATAACCACCTTCAAAACTCAAAGGTGTAGCGCCAAAAATTGCCATATCAAAATGAGAGAATCACATTAATATCCTCACCTCAGCTTTATCTACCACCAAAAGAAGCTCAACATACTTCATGTTCTGCTTCAGTTCCCTTCTCTCCTGCACATACAGACAATAATCCTTCATTACATTCTAGTTATGAGTAAATTCATGCAGTAATGACTGATCAGTCTGAACCTACCCGCCTGTTCTGTGGCGACATCATTCCACTGATGAAGTCACTGAGCCCATCCTGATGCTCCTCGTTGCCATGGTGATGCTCGCAGCTCCCCCTGGGTAGCCGGAGACTCTCGGCTCTGAGCACGGCGTGTCCCCGAGCGGAACCAGGAAGCGGCTCGATCAGGTAGCTCACGCTTGCGTTCAGAGAAATCAGTCCCCTGGGGAAACAAGACACCATGGATGGTTCCACCCAGTCAGCTTCAGTGAACTATTCTAAAAGAAAACAGAGCGATACTCGCCCTGCTGACATGTTTCATGTAATTTCTGCATGCAGTTAAATACGTTTTAACATTAAAGGTCTAGCAGTCTGCAGAGGAATGAATGTTCATCACTGCCTTTCATGCCAGATTTCAACTAAGATCCTCCCGTGCTGATAAGTAGCGTTGGAGCCGTTTTTGTCAAACCTTGAAAATAACGTTTTGCATGATTTTATGCAATAATGCACAAGACCTCACTTTCAGAGTATGTGCTGTGAATGACTCTCAGCTACTACCACAGTTTGAACCAAATATCTGAAACAAATGACTGAATTACAGCCATGTTAGGTTGGGTTGGTCAGTTATTGATATGAATACACACACACAAACAGACAAGCGCTAAAACATTATTGTCTTCTTTTGCCTCAAAGAGAGGACAGAGACAACTGGTTCCATGTGAGATTGGATCTTTTGGATGGGGAGAGCAGGGGGGAGCATAGCTCGGCCGATTCACTGCACGCCATGAGTGAAGATCAGCTGGAGCAGAATGAGCACACTAACACACAACCGAGCACAACAACAGCAGGCCACGCAGCTGCAGAAAACATCTGGAGACATCAGACACCCACATGTTGCCGTTCCAACTTTCCTTTTGTTTGCATTCTTCAGGAAGGGAATCAAAAAGAAGATGTATTCATTCACTCGTCCTCCAGATGTCGAGCCATCTCCCCCCCCCACACACACACATAAACACTTGATTACCAGCAGGGAGTGTCTCCAGCAGGAAGCATCAACCAGCTCCGGGGCTACATAAAGTAGAAAATGCAGGATCTGCGCACTGAGCTGCACCCAGTGAACCAGCTCCGGAGCCAGAAACCCCACTGACCTAATAAACTCCACGAGCTGCTAAACGCAGCGCTGTGATTTATTCAGCCTCCGTGACTGAAGAGTTGTGCAAGTTTTGGTTGTATTTTTATTACGCTCATAAAAATGTTTTCACAGACAGTTTTCTCAGGCTGTTACCTCAAAACGCCTCTTTATTTAAACCTAAAATTCAACCATAAGAATGAAAAGTAGTATTTAAATAAGAGTAGGTCTTTAAGTCTGTGTAAACTGACTGCTTTTGGTTTTGTTGCCATGTGACTTTATAGCATCACAAATATTCATTAAACCTTTATTTATACAGGTTAATCCCATTGATCCTGTGGGACTCATTTACAAGAGAGACCTGGATACAGATTGCTCATTTCAATATATAATCCAGGAGTAAATCTTCTGCAAAGAAGACAGAAGCTGATAAAAAATATAGAGGCCATCTTGAGCCTGCAGCAAAAGAGCAGAATTTAGAAAAACTGCTAATAATTGGCGGTCAAGACTTGTATGAGATCAGTAAACTGTCGTAAATAAGAAGGTTCTGCCAGCAGTGACCACCCCAGATGTTGTTTTTTCTATAAAGATCCAATACTGCCAATAATCTGAAGTGTCATAAGAGGATGCCGTATTATTCGCCGTATAAGTCGCACCTTTTTGCATAAATTAGCATACACCGAAGCGACTAATATACTTTTTTCTCCCCATACTTACAACCCAATACAACAATACAAGTACAACACTTACAATTTTACAAATATGTAAAATTCAGCAGCCTTAATTGTGTGAATGCTGACTCAGCATTCAGTTTTTCCTGTTCTTCATTGTTCTGATACTTTCTATTTACTTTGTGCTATAAATGTTCCACTCAGTCGGAGATGGGTTCTATGCCTTTTGATTTTTCTAAATATTCAACTTTATGTATGATGGTAAACCATAGAGTCCACCCTGACAGACCTCTGTACATGTATTCAAGCTGCTCTGCTGCAGACAGGAGGGATGCCATTAAAACACCTCAGTGGATTATCAGACCTCCTCTTCCCAGCTTAGATGACATCCACTCGACCCGTTTAGAGACCCAACCTGCCCACGACAGTCACAGTTCTGGACTCTCCCCTCTGGCAGGCTGAGAACCGCCTGGACCCAAACAAATAGACCAGGAAATAATGTCTTCCTTCAGGCCTTGGACTGCCTGAGGAAGCTCTAAGCTGCTCTCTCTGCTTTGATCTGATTTTAATAGGTACATTTTAAATGTTCTAATATTTAAGTCTTGTTGTTCTAAATTGGGGCAGCACGGTGGCGCAACTGGTAGAGCTGCTGCCTCTCAGCGAACAGGTCCCTGGTTCAAACCCCGGTCCAGGGGCCTTCTGGGTGGAGTTTGCATGTTCTCTCCGTGCATGCGTGGGTTTTCTCCAGGTACTCCGGTTTCCTCCCACAGACCAAAAACATGCATGTTAGGCTGATTGGTAACTCTAAATTGTCCCTAGGTGTGAGTGAGAGAGTGAATGGTTGTTTGTCTCGTTTGTCTCTATGTGGCCCTGTGATGGACTTGCGACCCGTCCAGGGTGTACCCCGCCCCTCACACAGTGATTGCTGGACATGGGCACCAGTGACCCCCGTGACCCAAAATGGAATAAACGGGTAAAAGATAATGGATGGATGGATGGATGTTCTAAATTGTATATTTGATACTAATTCATCAGTAAGAGTTTAATAGATATTTTGGCAACTTTTAGGAGGTATTTTTGAAGAGACTTGATGATGGTGCTGCTTCAGGAATGATTTACTGCGTTGTTGTTTTCAGAGCATTAAGGATAATCTCTTCAGTTACTTCAAAACTATTGTCCGCTGTCGAGGCTGCTTTAGCATAGCATGCCACTTCATTTATAAAGCACTTACAAACAGCAACAAGGCCAACCAAAGTACTGTACAACAGAACAACAAAGGACACAGGATCAAATACATAAATCCACAAAGATAAAGTATACATGCTCTATTTTATTTTCCTTATACTACTTCTAGCCTTAAGATAGCCTAAAGCTACTCTTTAGCGTCCCTTATGGAATATTAGCTTTCAGCTAGCCTTTTTCTACTTTTACATAGCCTTTAGCTACAGTTAGCTTTTAGATAACATTTTGCTGCATTTAGCGTTTAGCTGGACTGCTTTCAGCAAAAAATGTTTGCTTTAACTATCCTTTTCCAACTGTTCGCTTCTATTTAGTTACTTATCGCTACCATTTTGCTCTTTTTAGCTTATAGCTAGCATTTTGCTGCTTTTACCTGAAGTTTTGTGCAAAGTTTAGGAACAGTTAGTGTCTTACCTGCTGTAAATAGTTCTTGAACAACCTCATTTTGAAAAAATAAAATTTCATTTGACTGGATTAACAATTAGTCCAAGCAGCCACACTTACAAAGTGGATGTGGCTATCTTAAAACAAGTCCAGTTTTCTAAACTTTATAGCCGTACAAGCAAACTCTAATATTTAGATCCTTACATCATCTTCAGTGTTACACTACGTTGTTTAGATACAAATATTATGGAAGTTCCTGCTGAAAATGACCCTAGACTGAGCAACAAGTTTCAAGCTTGCTGCTGTTGCTATTAGCACTCTCAAATATTCATCCATTCATCTATCCATCCATCCATCCATCCATCCATCCATCCATCATCTTCCACTTGCTCTGGAACTGGGACACGGGGCAGCAGCTATAGCAGGGAGGCTCAAACATCTTTTTCCACAACCACCTCTTCTAGCTCTTCTGGGAGGACTCCAAGATGTTCCCAGGACAGACAAGAGACATAGTCTCTCCAGTATGTCCTGGGTCTTCCCCAGGGTCTCCTACCATTTGGACATGCCCATAAAACCTCCTAGGGAGGCGCCCAGGATGCATCCTTACCAGATGCCCAAACCACCTCAACTGGCTCCTCTCGATGTGGAGGCACAGCGGTTCAACTGTAACCAAATAATTCTCATATATTTCTAAACTAACACAAATGTACAGGTTTATAAAACAGCGTTTGCATCAGCCACTGTGAAATTTTTGAGACTGGAGTTGTTTTAAGATGGCAGTAACCCACAATGGTCTCAGTTCCAGTCAGACTAGCTGTTAACTCATCATTCCCATCAATCCCCTCACTGGGGTTGTTCAGAAAACAATCTACAACCGGTGATTTGTTCATAAATTTACAAAAAACCTAATTTGAAATAGTCAAAAATATCCCTTACATCCACAGAATGAAGGGTGTCAACGAACGGACAGAACGCTGAAGTTGAAGCCAAGCTGGGATTAGTGCCCCCTGCAGGCTGGCTGCAGTATAAGTCTAAGTCCATTTAAACAAACAAGAGTAAACAAAACAACACCTGAGATCAATTTTCCAGGTGTAGATTTATTTTGCTTTATAGAGTTCTTCCGTTGATATCAGTTCAAATATGAATTTTCTAAAATATTTACTTCTTAGTAGAAAAAGATCACAACCACTGAAATGAACCTCTAAATATTAGATTTTGTGAAAAGCTGTTTGTTTACCTGAGTCCTGAACAAGTGCTGACTGCCACACTGGAACCCTCCACACCCAGCACTTCCCCATGGTAGAAACAATGATCCTGGAAGACAAAACTCTAACTCAGCATCTACCTTTGCAGAAAAACCTGTTTGAACACTAGAAACCATAAAACATCTCATATTGCAGCATTTTTTCTTAATGTTGTCACTGACTTGATTTCTTTGCCTTTTGAACGATCTTTTTCAAATCCCCTCAGCAGAAAGAGATCATAAATCTGCTTGTTTAGACTCACAGTGTTGGCGGGAGACGAGGACCGACGACTTCCATCAGGGCTGTACCATATTTCCTGATATCCAGGGGCCAACAGCTGCCTGGAGAGAGTTTAAAAAAACAACTCAGGCACAGCTGAATGTTTATAGTGTCAGACAATAAAGCAACAAAAACAACAAAGAGACATGAATAGTGACAGATAGTACCTGGGTGGGTTTTTATAATGGGAACCATATTTTCCGGCGTATAAGTCACTTCAGCGTTTAAGTCACATTTATTAAATGATCAAAACAGCTTCATTTTGCCTGGGTGGCATCCATCCATCCGTCCATCCATCACACCCCCATCCATCTATCCATGCCGGAGCCACTAGCTTTCCTCCGCCTGCACCAGCTGAGTAAAGCGAGTGCACACAGGACTCGCTGTTGCAGTTCTTAAAATTTAAAGCATCAATCAAACATTGTGTTATGAATATAGAAAGAAAAAGTGTATATAAGTCACAGGGCTGGCAAATCGAGGCAAAAAAAAATTACTTATACACCGGAAAATACGGTAATAGCTGCAGAAAACTGAAATGCTAAAAGAGGCCAGAGGATCTCTGCTCATAAACTATTCATGCAGGTAGAAACACTCCACAAAGCAAAGTGTTTTAACATTTTCAAGCTGTGCTAAGCCAAGAAACACACAAAAATGCTATAAAAAATACATGCGCTTTTCTTAAATAACCATTTTACTTCTTGAACTGTGGAGTACATTAATGGTAAATGCTCTCCTTTTTTTTCCACAATAAAAGACTTTAAGTGAGGGACAAATGAGGGGAACACGCACATGTCTGAATAAACATTCATTTTATTTGGGTGAAATATTACATTCCTCTTATCCTCCATCTGTGTGTTTGTGGGCCGTTGGACTCGAACCAGCTCTGATGCTTATTTTCCTGTCGCACTCCTTCCAACCGGGTCTCTGTCCATCCTTCCTGTTTTCATTCATAAACTCTGTCTGCCTCACAGCTGCTTTTCCTGCGCTCTATCTCTCCTAGAATCTTTTCTCATCTTTCCTCAAAAGATCAGAATCTTCAAATGAGCTGCAGCAAAATCAGGCCACAGAAAAACCTGCAAACCCCAGCTCAGCTGATCGGACCGGAAACAACTAGTGGACCGTCGAACGCACAAAAATGGATCAACTGAAGTCAGTATTGCAGATATTGAGCTAAAGGTTGATGTGACAGTCATCCCTAACGTATGCTCAGAGAGCTAACTGTGCAAGATCTTTCAGTCAGCTCTGTCTGTTAGCAAAATTTCTCATGAAACGTTGGACACATTTATAGAAACTTTCAGATGATACAAATTCAGTCAGGTCATCTGGAAGTTTTTTTTTTTTTTTTATGTTGTTTTATGACCTGACTGAACTTTGTTGGATTTTTTAAAAAAATCTGGATTATTAAGCATGAACTTTGATGTTTTGAACCACTTTTGCTATGGCTGCCTCAGAGGAGTCGACGGGGGAGGGGGTGGGCCCCAAAAACCATCTTATCACCAGCAAACTGGTTGGCCCACTATGGGAGTGTGCTGCTTGTGGGACTGAGCGTGTTGTGGCTCCTTGGACTGGTGAAGTCCTTTAGATCAAGGACGCAACATCAGAGTCAGAGTCAGAGTTTCTTTATTGTCATTCGCACCTCATGTGGTACATGTGGTGGAGCGAAATTATGTACACAGGGTCCCAGTTACATCCAACAATAAAATGTATAAGAAAAACAGTAATAACATCTAAGATATGAACTAAGAAAAACATCAACTAAATATACACTAAGCACTCATAACATAAAACATTGAACATCAGCACAAACATGAACATGAGTCTGTGAGCAGATGTGCACGCATGAACACATCAACAATGAAACAGATCAGCAGCAACATGAAACAGATCAGCAGCAACATGATATGGTTTTTCACAGTGCTTATTCTAGTCAGAGACATCTAATATAACATCTCAACAAACAAACAAAAAAAGTAAAAAATTTGAAACCGTCCAGATGACCTGACTGAACTTTGTTGGATTATTTTTACCTGGCTTATTGAGCATGAACTTTGATGTTCCAGAAGATAATTATTGGATACATATAGCTGATTAGCTTTTGGAGTCAACCCGCTTCAGGGTGGCCTCCACAGCTAACGAATATTAAGACGTGGGGAGTGGTGGCACAGAGGTTAGAGAAGGTGGGCCTGTGATCGGAAGATCGCCGGTTCAAGCCCCGGTACTGACAACATCAAAAATGTGGGTGGGGTAAGTGAAGCACCCACAACTGCCCCCACCCTCATTCGCCCCACTCTGGGGCCTAGTTCACTACACCCATGAGCAAGGCCCTTAACCCCCACCATCTGCTCCCTAAGCAGGTCTCAGAACAATAACAGCTCATTTTAACCAATATTAACTAAGTAATAAAAATCCAAAAAAGTTCAATCTGGTCCTCTGGACATTCAAAAAAAACAAAAGCAAAACAAAGCAAAAAAATTTCTAGAAACGTTTCGTCTCTCATCCAAGAGACTTCCTCAGTCTGAGGTGCAAAGTTTCAGCCTGCCTCAGCAATGCCAAACCACCACCTTCCAACATCAGTAGAGAGGAGAGGGATGCACTCACCACTCTTAGCAAGGACAAAAACGTCATCATTCTCCCAGCAGACAAAGGAAGGTGCACAGTGATTTTGAACCAGAAAGACTATCATGAGAAGGTTATGACACTCCTTAGTGACTTAAACACTTATGAACCTCTGAAAAGAGATCCAGGAAGTGGTTACAAGAAGAAGTTAATAGATTGCCTGAAAAATTTGGAGCAGGACAAGGCTATTGACCGTTTTCTGTACCACAGACTGTACCCAGGGGAGGCCACACCTAGTCTGTATGGTTTACCTAAAATCCACAAACAAGGTGTACCTTTAAGACCTATTGTTAGCTTGATTAACTCTGTCACTTACAATGTTTCCAAATATCTGGCGTCTGTACTCATCCCTTTAGTTGGCAGCTCAGAACACCACATACAGAACACCATGGACTTTGTGGATAAGGTGAGGGATGTCATCATGGAGACTGATGAAACAATGGTCTCTTTTGATGTCACATCACTCTTTACGTGCATTCCTGTTGATGATGCAGTAGAGGTGGTCAGTTTAAAATTAAAATCAGACACCACTCTGAGCAGCAGGACCACGCTTTCCACAGAACAACTGTGTCAACTCTTGAAACTGTGCCTGCAGTCAACCTACTTCACATATGGGGAGCAATATTATAGGCAGAAACATGGGTGTGCTATGGGGTCTCCAGTTTCTCCTATTGTTGCCAACCTGTACATGGAGGAGGTAGAAAAGAGAGCCTTGACGTCCTTTTCAGGGACACCACCAAGTCATTGGTTCAGGTATGTTGACGACACCTGGGTTAAAATTAAATCTCAGGAAGTCCAACATTTTACTGACCACATCAACTCTGTGGATAAATATATCAAGTTCACACGAGAAGATGTAAAAACTGGCAAGTTGGCTTTCTTGGACTGTGAGGTCTCAGTCTCGGATAGAGGACATTTGCAAACCGAGGTGTACCGCAAACCCACCCACACAGACCAGTATTTGCAGTTTGACTCCCATCACCCTTTGGAGCACAAGTTAGGAGTCATCAGGACTCTGTATCACAGAGCAGACAGCATCCCCACTAGCTCGGGAGCCAGGCAGAAGGAGAAATCCTACACAAAACAGGCTCTAGAGCAATGTGGATATCCTAACTGGGCCTTCCTGAAAGCAGAGAAGAAACCCAAACAGGACTCCAGTCAGCCATCAGGTGAAAAGGAGGAACCCAGACCCAGACCAGTGGTCATTCCGTATGTTGAGGGGGTATCAGAGAAACTGAGACGTTTGTTTTCTAAACATAACGTCCCAGTGGCTTTTAAACCCCAAAATACATTACGGCAAAGACTGGTTCATCCCAAAGATCCAGTCCCCCGGCACAAACAGAGTAATGTTGTGTATGCTGTTCAGTGTCAGGAGGGCTGTGATCAGTCTTACATCGGGGAAACTAAACAGCCACTGGCCAAAAGGATGGCCCAGCACAGAAGATCAACATCATCAGGCCAGGATTCTGCGGTCTACACTCCTCTCTCAAACCATCGTTCCTCTCTGTCCAGGATGTGAACATCTTCATCCCTGAAAGAGTGACCGCTGGCCTGGAGATGAGTAAAGGAGGCCATCTTTGTGAAAAGAAACCGTCCATCATTAAACAGGGGTGGAGGCCTCCGGGTTCAACTGTCCCCCTCTTACCATGCTGTGATTGCTAGTATCACTCAGCCCTCTGTGAACAGTAAACAGCCATCAGTGTGCTAATGATCCATTGTTAGACTGATGGTCCTTCTTGAGCATGTGATCAGCTGGTTTTGGTTGTCAGCAGCAAACTGGTTGATCCACTCTGAGAAGGTGCTATTTAAGAGACTGAGCTGAATACAGCACCTCAGACTGAGGAAGTCTCTTGGATGAGAGACGAAACGTTTCTAGAATTTTTTTTGCTTTGTTTTGCTTTTGTTTTTTTTGAATGTCCAGAGGACCAGATTGAACTTTTTTGGATTTTCTACCTGGATTATTGAGCATGCATCAAGATAAGTAATAAAAACTTTACAGCTTTGCTTATGGCCTGATTTTAGCCTCTAGACAGAAACAGGCTACCAGTGAGCCTTTATGCTAGTTAGTGTAGCACTATTGAAGCAGTGTGACTCGTCTGACATTTCAATGGAGCACATGTCCCAAAATGTTTAACAGTTCCTTTTAAAGCACAACGAGGACAGATGAAGGATTGTCTCTCTGTATTTTCTCGCTCAGTCACCCTGAGGGAGACGAGCCTCTTGAAACAACGACAGCCTGTTGATGCAGTTTGCAACAAAGCAGGTCAAGGACAGAAAACATCCTTTAACGGTTCATCACTCAGGAGAAAGAGGGGGTTTTACGTTTACATACGAGTCAAAGGGACAGCTTTAAACTGATCAGTTTGTCTGGTGTTATCCTGAACACGCTGACCCCCACAGAGCTGTGATCTGACCTCATGACATCATCTGGCCTTCCTCTCTCTAA